TTTTTTAATTTAAAAAAAATAAAAGGCATGAGCCAAAGCTCAGGATCCCAAGTGTCCCTGAGCTCTGTGAACACACGAGAATCCAGTCTGGAGAACAAGCTGGTGACGGGACATCCTTGTCTACACCCTGCAAAGGCCAGGTAGTAGGATCTCCAACCTCGGTCCCGATCCAGAATGGGCAGCTGGGTTTATGCATATGTGAGTGTTTGGGCTTTTTGTTTCTGTTTCTGTTTTGTTCTGATTCTCTGAGAAAACAAAGGTCCCCTTTGGGTCTTCGGGCTGGCCAGTGTGACAAACGGGAGAACCAGCCGTTTCCTCCGGAGGAAGACACGGTCTCATGCGGGAAGGCCAGGTCGCCTGTGCTCACTGACGACACCTACGGCCGAGCATGCCTTGAGTGCCCAAAGGGAAGGCCCGCTCCCAGGAAGGACAAACAGCAAGAAATGGACAAGACAGATGACAGCGTCCAGGGCTGCCACAGGAGGCAAGGAAGGAAGCTACCCTGGGAGGGTAAGAGGCTATGCTTGGAAATGCATGTGCCAGGGACCTCTCCCCACATCCGGGTGTTCAGCAGCCCTGTTGGGAAGAAGCCCATGTGTGGCCAGCCCTGCCCTCCAGAGTCGCCTGCAGAGAAACAGATCTGACCACCTGAAAGCCTTCCTGCCGTCCCTCACTGCCTCTGCCCTCAGGAGGGAGCTCAGCCCCTTTCACTGGCTGGCCTCCACACAGCCTCTAGACTTTCTTGGCCCCTGTCCCTCTGCCCACCTGCTGTCCCTTTCTCTGAAGACAGTCTCCAACAGTGGCAGGGCAGGGCAGATCCCATGAACATGAGGGGCATGGAGCTTAGAGCAGGCCTGTCTGGTGGAGCTACTTTGGAGCCTTGCCTGGAAGGCCTCAGGAACACCCCTGACCCATAGGTAAAGGCCTTGTGTGCCTTGCCATGTGCCATGCGGGCCAGCATCGGGGCCTTGAGGCCCTCCGTGAGCACCCCATGCTGCAGCCAAGCTCGCAGACCCCACCAAATGGTGCCTTGGCTTTGTGAGCCGGCTGTGGGCTGCATGCAGGAAGGGGCTCTTGTGGAGACGGCCACATGCCTGGCTCCTGTTCCGTGCCCAGCGCTGGTGTTCTTGCGCAGAGAACAAAGACCCGCAGGCCCCTGTAGAAACAAGGGAGGCTGAAAGCCGTGGCTCTCAAAGCAGACTGACTGTGGCCAGGTAAGGAATTGTGCATCTCGGCCCAGCACGCGCACGCCACACTCGCTGTGTAAGATGAGGCAGTAACTCTTCGTGCTCATAAGACTGAAACCAAGTTTTCAGGAGAGAATTCTTACCGTGCACCATGAACTGCAATGTCAGTTGTGCTAGTTCCTTTTTTCCAAATGATGGCTACTACTACTGAAATGACCCTAGGACCTTAATGGGTCACAGCAGAGTTTGCAGACTGCTCTTCTCAGAGCCAAGGGTGCTTAGGACACAGCCAGGGGGCAGCCTACAGCATCTGCCTCCTGCATTCTTCCCTGTGCCAGCCCTGGAGTCTACTGGGATGCTGGCCACCACCTACCACACTGACACCGGGGAGTCACCGCCCTTCACCAGCCTGAGCCTCAGGTAAAATGAGAACACTCTCACCTCCTAGGGTCATGGTGAGAAGTGAGGCCATGCACCAGCTAAGAGCAGGACTCCAAGGGCCTGCGTAGGCTGGGCAAGCCCCTGTCACTTTTTCCCCGCCATCTCCAAAGCTTTCCACCCCACTGCTTATTTGGAAACCAATGATAACTTGCCGCTGATTCCGTGTGGGGCTGTTATTCTATAACTGCCTGTCACTGCTGTCCCTGTGCCTCCCTCCTGCCCAGGACTCTGTCCTGACCCCCACCCACCTCCTAGGAAAATCTTCCTCCTCTTCCAGCTCTGCTCCAGGCTTCCCTTTGAGCCATCTCCTCCTCGGTCCCCTCTATAGTTTCGGGGCTCACGGATCAGTACAGTGAGCCTCCCCATCAGTCCCCACTGCCCCTGGGTCTGCAGTCTGTCTTCTGTCCTGCTGGGCACAGAGGACCCTTCCCCATGGCCTCTCCTCCCCGAACAGCCACCTGCACCTCCTCTGCCCCAGGCAAGCCGAGCATACCTTCCACGCACTGTTCTCTGCTGCCTTTGGGCAGAGCCGCAGACCTGAGTAGTCCACGGGTGCTTACTGCTTCAGCCAGTGTCAGAGCTGGCTCCGGTGCAACGCGGACTGGACCGGCTGCCGTGTTTCCTGAACACACACGTGTGCACCCTGATCCCGGCACTATGTACGTGTAGTTACCAAGTTACTTTCCACTTTTTAACCATGCTGGTCTTCCCATAACCGATGAAGGTTAGACACCAACTGCCAGCTGACTCTTGGGTCCGGCGGTGGAATGGTTTGAGACATACAACCTGGCAGAAGTTGCGTGTGAAAGGTGCCTTTCCCCACAAGCCTATCTCAGGCTTCGCAAGTCTACCGCAGCCCTGAGGCAGGAGGACTCTGCGTGGAACCTCCATGCCCATCGGACACAGACAGAGCCTGCCATGAACCCAGCCCTGGCCCGCAGAACTGACATTCTCAGACAGGACAGGCAGACAGGGACACGTGGACAGCCTCTTGGGTGCAGGTGGTGACACGGTACTGCTGGATGCAGTGGGATGGCCGTGTCTGGGAAGCAGGGGGTGGTGCTGAGGAGGAGCGTCCCCGTGACACTCTGGAGGATCCTGGCGCAGGACCTCTGGCCCTCCAGCCCTGAGCATGCCCCCTCCTCGCAGAGCCCAGAGGAGCTGCGGCCCGTCCCTGCACACCTACCCTTGCCTGCCCCTCAGAGCCGGTTCTGGAGTTCACCCAGAGTGCAGGGCCGCTCTGCTCAGTCTGCCCAATGGACCCTCTAAGCGCACCCCTGCCACAGTGTTGGTGAGCAGCCCTCTGGAGCCCTGGCCCCTCTCCCTTCACTTGGTCATGTCTGGCAGCTTTCTATCATGCTGTAGCTGCCCTGCTATGCCCCCGCTGTGCCAATCTGCCACTTCCCTCCCCTTGGGCTCCCTGCACAGGACTAGAAGCAGTGAATGCTCCCTCGTAGCCTTCAGCCCACCTGTCCTGCAGCAGAGCGCCAGGGCCTGGAGTTAAAGCAGAAGCACGGCAAGGGCAAAGGACGTCTCCAAACTCCTTCTCGCCAGACTTCACACGCTGTGAGAGGCCCCCGAGCCCCGCACATGCACACGTGCATGCACACGGAGGAAGCCGCCCTTGCAACAGCGGGTGGCCCCAGTGTCTACATTGCCAGCTCCCTCTCGAGCAGTGTGGAGGCCCTCCAAGGCTCGCCCTGCCCCCGGACTGGCCACTGGTGGCATCCATACCCCCCTGCATGTGGGCATCCCAGGCACCTGCTCTGACCCCCCAGTGATGGATGGCTCAGGTCTGAGGCTCACCTCCGCACCTGCAACCTCTGCTACCTGCCTACCTGCTCCACCTGGACATCGCTGTGCTGGTCAGCTCTTCATGCATGGCGCAAGCGTGCATTCTGACAATGCCATGGACTCCGCTTGCTCCCAGGCCCTGGGCTACCAGAGGCAATGAAGGCCGGTCACCACCTCCTGGGCAGAGGCACCGGACCTTTCCTGCTGGGCAGCGAGGGAAGGCGCCTAGGACAGGCGCCTTTTCCCCACCACTTTTCTCCCTCCCGCCCGACGCCAGGGCATCCCCCATGCCTCTGACTCTGAGGTTCTCTCCCATGCTGTGGTGGCTGCTGCATTTCCCTTCACTGTCTTGCCCAAGTGTGTTAACAGACTCCTTGCAGGACACAAAGATCCCCACGAGGAAGAATGCCTTGTGGGGCAGTGCTCAGGTGACACTGGGAGCCCACAGCCCGGTCAGCCTGTCTACCCCGCCCAGAGCTCACTAAACTGCGATTCCCACCAAGATGGTCCACGTGCACACCCACCCTTCAGTTCAAGACACACCCCGGAGGGCGTCCAGCCAAGCCCCTGTTTCCATGAGGAGACCAGAGAGGGCAGGACTCACTGCAATCACTCAGTGATTGGCAGGTGTGCTGAGGTGAGGGCAGAGCCAGCACTGGCCAGCGCTTGATCCAAGCTCCAGAGCTCGGGCTGCAGGCTGGGGTCCATGGCCCAACCACACCTGCCCGCACACCCACCTGCCCACTGGTCTGAAAATAAGCAGCATGACTCACCTTCCATCTCACTGAGCATCCACCATGGACCTTGGTACCACTGCAGCAGCGTGTGCTGGCCCCTGCCCCTTCACAGTCCTCCAGGGAACCCACCCTGCCATAGACTAGCTGGCCGTTGGCACCAGGAAGGGCACCTTTCAGGCCCCTCCTCGCAGTGAAGGCCACATGTGCTTTAAGAACTGGAGTGAAGACTGGGCTGGCCCTGAGATGTGAGATCCTAGAGGCGTAGAGGGTGATGTCTCAGCACATGGAGCTGTGGCCCTGCCATGGTGTCCACCACGCTGTGTACCCCGCTGCCGGAGGGCCTTGCTATGCTGTTGCCAGCCCACACTGAGCTGGAGGGGTCTAGATCCAGGCCAGGGGAGTCCAGCTGCGGAGACCAGTGAGCACAGGCTGGGAACAGGAGCCCGGGAGTGTGGGGCAGCCCAGGCTCGGGACAACAGGGTGCAGGTGCCGAGTCCCTGAGGAGGTGGCGGAGGGGCCTCCGTACCACCGGGGAGGGTCTGCAGCTGAATGCAAGGTGTGCCCGAGAGGACCACAGGCCCACTCCAGAGAGCCCGCCACCTCCCTCCCCAGCACCAGGCCCGAGTGAGTGACCTGGGCCCCGGAGAGGCCACAAGCTGGATGGCCTGAAACAACACACACCACACACGTTCTCGCAGTTCTGGGGGCCGGAAGTCTGAGATCGGGGAACTGGCTGGGCCGTGTTCCCTCCCAAGGCTCCTGGGAAGGCCCCTCCTCGCACCTTCCTGGTGGTTCGAGGTCACACTAACCTTTGCCGACCTCTCTTTGTGGCCACTCTGCAGCTGTCTCTGTCCTCTCCTCTCAAGGACACCGGTTGTTGGATTTAGGGTCCATCTGATGCAGTGTCACTTTGTCCTGACTAATTACATCCCAGAGACAACTTCCAAAGGTCACATTATGAGGTCCCAAGTGGACAGGAATTTGGGGGACACCATTCGACCAGGTAGACCCCCCCATTGCTCTCTAAAGAGAGGCGGCCTTCAAATGCCTTGCGTGGGCATGGAGACACCAAGACCTAATTCGCTGCCCGATCGAATGGGGTCAACAGAGCCAACTGGGAGTTTCCTGGGGTCTTGCTCAAGTTGGGGGCAGCGCTGGTGGAGGGGCAAGCCAGCCTCTGAGGAGAAAGCTAGAGCCTTCAACAGAAGCCGGGGTGGAGGGAGGGGAGAGAGAGAGAGAGCCCCAGGGAGAGAGCAGCCCCTACCCAGCCTCCCCCGAGTGGGCAGAGAGCCTCCTGTCTCTTCTTGTCAGGTCCCTGCTCCACCCTCATGACCAGGTCCCCTCCCAGAGGCCCCACCTCCTATGCCATCGCACTGGGCTCCGGTTTCAACATGGCATGCACACAGTGCTCACCACCAGCCTCTGCGGGTCTCCAGTCTCCTGATACTTTGTGGGAGCCGTGCTGTCCCTCCCCTGGGCTCCAGCTTGTCAGGCGCGGGTGTGGGGACCTCACGAGCCGGCTCCTCCAATACATCAGCTGTGTGCGTGTCCTGTTGCTTCTGCTTCTTCAGAGAACCTGGACTAACAGCCTCCAATGGGACTCCTGGGGGAGACAGAAGTTTGCCCATTGGACAGGCTTGGTGACATCTTTTGGGGCACTGGGTCTAGCTGAACCTTGTCCCCCATGGTCACAAGAACCACTCGGTTCACCTTTAAGACCATCCGAGAGGTCATCTGAGTTTCTGGTAATGTTTCTTAAACGTGCTACTACTTGCCCAAGAGTGTGAAGTCTATGAAAATTCATCAGGCTGACACCTAAAGTGTGTGTATTTTTGGTATGCATGTCACACTTCAATATAAAATTTATACTTATCAAAAGCGTTATGGTATGCTATAGTCAATGTTAAAAGAAAAAGAAAAAAAAAAGCCATGAAATGGAACAGGCTCTCATTCCCTGTTTAGGATGAAATTGGGCATCAGGAACCCTGCCTTCCTCTGGGGCACTCTGTCCGTATTTTGTGGGAGAGCAGTGCGTGTCCTCTGTCCATTCGTGGGCTGATCGTGCAGAAGTGGCTGCTTCCTTCACTGAAAGCAAGAACATAAAAGCGACTGCCTTTCTTGTGTGTTTGGTTTTTTTAAAGAATTATTTATTTATTTAATTCCACTTGTTATTATTATTTCTTTAATTTGACCAGACAGAGACAGTGAGAAAGAGAAAGGGAAAGCGAGAAAGCAAGCCACCAGGTCCAGGACTTGAACCGTGCGTGGTCCTGTGGGAGTCCAGTACCATTATCCACCATGCCACCTGCCGGCCCCACGACTGCCTTTCTTAAGTAAGTGTTGATTTCTAGACTCAGGAAAGAAAGGAAACTTTACTAGAAATAAGTCACTAATGTTTTGACTGTAGGTAGAGTCTGTCTTTTTAATAAAGTGGTTAATGTTTGAAACTATCAACTTTGAGACATACTTCACTTATACCCATTTGCTGTGATAGGAAAGTAAAAGCTACGCTCTGCACTCCAGCAGAGACTGCAAGGTTGAACGGTGCAATGGCAGGGAGGGCAGCTGCTGCTGCAGACAGTGCAGGAGGGTGGGGAGTGGGGTGGGAGGTGGGAGGGAGGGGTTGGGGGAAAGAGAAGCGTTTAACAGACTTAGAAGTAAAAAGGTGTCTGTTGGCCATAATGTATGCGGTGTTATCCTGACTTCACAGTAGGCGCTGTGTACATGCTGGGAACAATAAAGATGTACAGTGATTGAACGCAGATGTTTTGAAAGTAATTAAAGTACATGGAAAACAAAATCTGAGTTGAGTTTCTGTCACTCACTCCCGAAAACATTGCGATGGGAAGGTGTCAGGCTACACCGTGTGCTGACCGACTGCACCCACTGCCTGCGTCACCCCAGCCTGGGTCAGCCGGCCCCCGAAGGACATGAAGGTCACGTAACATGCATCAGGACCACGTCTGCACCCTGAGCCCTGCCCTTTCGGGGGTGTCCCTGTGAGGTGCCAGCATGCTCTAGGGCAAAGGACAGAAACCAGGTCTCTGATGAGACCGAGAGGAGACGGCGGGTGGAGAAGCCCAGTCTGTGTTCTAGGCCTGTCCCCCACTGCACTGTGGGCACACTGGAAGGTACTCATGCTCCCAAGGGAGTCTGGGCCACTCAGGTTCTGGGCACTGGACCCCTGGCCCATGTCCTGGCCCTCCCTGCAATGTGACGGCTAGAAGGCTGGGTGCAGAGCCAGGAGCACTAGGGACTGGAGCCCATGTAGGAGAAAAGACCCCCTTTTGCATGGACAGACGCCCAAGCATGAAGGAAGCCCCCAGTGGAGACAGGTCAGCCTTTCATGCATCTCGTGTGACCCTCTAGTCCAGGAAGTGTGGGTCTGCCCTGGGCTAAGCCAGGGTGTGGGGCAGCCCATCTAGCTTCTTGGTCTGGAAGTGGGTTTATGGGTTTATGGGTTTCCTGTGTGATCGACATTCCAGGGTCTAAAAATCAATGCCACCAACCAGGAGGAGGCCTGAGTAGGAGCCCACCACTTCTCGAGGGCCCCCCCCCAGCCGGGAACTTGCCTGAGGTGGGGAGGGGTTGGCAAGACCCCAGGATGCCAGAAGGTCGTGAGTCTGCTCCTCCTCTAACCTGAAGCAGGAGCAAGGCTGGGGTGTAGACAGGTGCCTCTGCCACCATCCTGAAGGCTTAGACTGAGATTGGCTGAGTCCCTGCGGGCCACCCACACTGTTTTACAGATGAGGAAACAGGCCTGGGGGAGGGGACTTTGGCCGTGGGCCTAATCGAGGCTGAGCCAACGCCCACCACCAAGGCTCGACCATCTCCCATGGAAACCCAGGCTCCCTGGCTGCCGGGCACTGGTGCTCACCAATGGCAGCATGGCTCAATCAACAGCCAGCGGCACCGAGAGCAAGAGGGAGCCCGTGCAGGCTGCTCTCGGAGGTGGGATGAGACCGGGGCCGGGGGCGGGGGAGGGGGGGATGTGTGGCCAGGGGCCGGGCCTTTCAGGACCTTTGTGTTACCAGGTGGTCTCAGGTTCTATCTTGCACAAAACATGGCTCCTAGGGTGTCCTGGTGTCAGTGACCACGCAGCCATGGTGCACATGCTTTTTCCAGCTGAGCAAGCCTGGGCATCCATTTGCCTGACCTGTGTGCCGGCCAGACCCGGGGACACAGGGAGCCGGTGCAGCCTACCCGAGCTGTGCAGTGAGGAGCTGCCCGGGACGCTCGGAGTGCCTTCAGGGCCCGCGTGGTGTTCCCAGGTTCAGGGAGCAGGGCTGATTGACAGCAGGCGCTGGGCTACGGCCTCACCTTCTGGAGTCCCAGTCGTTTCAGCTTTCTAGAGTACCTCCCAGGGGTGAGTGTTAGAATGCATGACTTTGTCCGTGTTCATACAGGAAAACAGAGTAGGAGCTGGAAGGCCTATTGCCCCGACCCAGAGAACCTCTGCTGACATTTTCTGTAATTAAGTCACCCATGCTCCCAGGATGAGAACGTGAAGAACGCAGCCTGCTTCCCGGAGGAGCACGAGTTTCTCTCGCACACACCGGGGTAGTCAGAGCTCGGGTGCAGGGTCCACGCCAGAGCCCCATGTCACTGCACAGGCCCTCCAGCTCCCTGATACCTCGACTTCCCCTGCAAAGAGCCAGAATGCTGATATCAAGTCCCAGAGCCTTCCAAAGCCTCGCTGAGCTGGGAGCACATGGGGCCTGGCAGAGGACTGGCCTCGTGGGAGCTCCGTCCACGTGGTCAGTACCGACCCGGAGAGTGGCTGCATATCCCTCCCTGCCGCTGTCTACCTTTTCATTTTAACCCAGAACGGGGGTCCGTCCATCCCAGTCCCTACAGACAGATATAAGCCAATCTCACTCAGGGCCCACCAAGTGCAGATAGACCCCTGCCCACGTATCCCCGTCCTTCACCGTTCCAAACAATGCCAGCATGGGACCAGGACCCCAGGAGTGCCGATGCTGGCCCAACTGCCAGGCATTTGGGACCTGGCTCGAGTCACACTTCTACCGTCCTGGGCTGGCATCTCATGTCCCCATACCTCTGCCAGCTATAGGGCCTCCACCCACTGGCGTTTCCTAGTCCGACAGTTGTCACCTGCCCATCTCACTGTTCCGTTACTCATGGGCCTCTGTGGGTTTATCAGCCACAGTTCCAGTGGGGAGTGTGTTCACAGGAGCCTGACTTGGGAACAGCCTTGTGAGACAGTGCAAGGCCCTCAAAGGCCACAGGGGCATGACAGAGAGGCAAAGATGGGAGGAGGGTGTCAGGGTACAGGGCCCATCAGGGATGCCCTGAGAGAAGAAACTGGAACCAGTCTGCAGTGGCTTCTTGGACCACCTCCAGCATACTCTGCAGAACCGTGCCTGCCTTCGGGCCAGAGCAGAGACAAAAATAAAAGTCAACTGGGATGTTACAACGGGCTTCTCTCGCACGCTCCTGTGTCAACACTCCACAGCCTGGAGCCAGCTCAGACACTGCTTCTGGGCCTTTGTGGCAGCCTGCAGAGTGGGGGCCATGCCATGACCCCCTCAGCAGGTTCAGCGCCAACCTCAGGGAGCCAGCAGACTTGTGCAAGCAGCCGGGCACCGTTCCGAGCCAAGCCCAGTGGGGTGCTGACGGGGCCAACCCAGGTCACCCATCCAAGTGACCACAGAACAAGGACGTCTTTCTGCCACCATATCATCACATGCTTGGAGAAAGTTCCAGAAGACAGGCTCCAAACAGGTTTCCAGTGAGGAGGAGGCAGTCTCAGTGGTAGTAAATCTTGTGTCCATTTGAGAGAGCCACATGCCCAGACATTCGATCAGACAGTAACCTGGGTCTTTCTCTGAGGGTGTTTTGGATGAGGTTAACATTCAAATGGACAGAATGAGTAGAGCCGTTCTCCTTCCCTGGTGGTGGGCCTCATCTAATCAGTCGACACCTCCCATAGAGCAGAGTACCCTTCCCTAAGGATGAGGAGGTCCCTCGTGCCTGCTTGCCTTCCAGCTGGGACATCTGGCCTGTCCTGGCCTTCAGTCTTGAGCAGACATGCCAGCTCTGCCCCAGCAAGCTTAGACTGCTACAGCTAGTAACCATGGGCCACGTGGCTGACGCAACATTGAAGTCTCATGGATCAGGAGGCTGGGAAGTCCAAGACCAAGGTGCCTGCTGACTCGGTTCTGCTGAGGGCCTGCCACCTGTGCAGACGCCAGCCTTCTCTCTGTGTCCTAAAGACCCCCTCTCTCACATTCTTCTCCTGAGGGCATCTCATTCGTGAGGGGCCCACCCTCGCCCTGGGTTACACAGTCCATCCTACACTTTCTGTGGGTTTCCAGTCTCCTGACACTCAGCAGGATCCTGGGCACCGGCTTGACAACGGCAGGAGCTGGGGCCTTCAGCCCGTGACCTCGCGGGCCATCTGTAATACATCCCGTTCTCGGTGTGTGTGCATCCTATTGCTTCTGTGTCTGGAGAACCTGGACTGTTACAGCCACCAAAAGGACAAGGGGACTCCCAGGGCGAGACCGAGGTTAACATATGCTGGCCCCTGCCAGATGGGATCCAACAATGGCCGCTGAGCACAGCCCACATGCAGTTCTGCAAACGCTGCTCCATCGCGTCCTGCCGGCATCCCCTCCCTCCTTTGGCTTGCCCTCCACCTGGCCGTCGGTAGCCCCCTCAGCCTCTGCTGGTCCCCCGAGCCTCTTTTTGTGCTCTTAAATGACATCCCCAGCCCAGTGCCCAGCTGATAACCACTTAAAGAGGTCAGAGGTCTCATCTCTCCACAGCTGTGTTCCCATCCCCCCACGCAGTGGGTGGTGCCCAGCTGAGGTGTCAGGTTAGGGAAAGGCAGGACGGGTGCAGAGCAGCCCTGGGGGGAGGCCTCTAACTGCTGGTGGTACACTCCAGGCTCGCCCATGGGAGCGGGGCTCTTGTGCCTCAGTTTCCTATCTGTAAAAAGGGATGTTGCAATGGCAGGTGTTCAGCGTCCCTTCAATGCTGTTATTTGTGGATTTCTCATTGGAGCTGAAAGGTGGCAAGGGAAGAAGAAGGCCCCGGCTCAGTGCTCCATGCGATGGGAGAAGACGCCCTGGCGACACCTGCCCCCGGGTGCTCACTGGACCTCCAGCCCAGCCCCAGGGATGGTTCCCAGACTCCCCAATGTCCCAAAGAGGACAACAGAGGTGAACCACAGGGCATGAGAGGACACACTTTCACTGACCATCTAGCCTAGCAAAGCTATTGTAGAAACGTCAAAAAGTAAAAATTCCATTTGTAAACAGGATCGAATTATTGGATTGTGAAACCAGGGCCCATGGAATTTGAAATACTTTAATATGAAACAATATCATTTGAACTCCTGGGCAGCCAAGGACTGGATGTAGGGGTCTGTCCTGTGCCCAGGCACGTGGAACCAGCCTCGGGATGGTAACAAATTGTTGGTCAGCAAGCAGGGCTGTGGGGCAGACGCTGCAGCCCTGGGCATGCAGGGGCGGCCAGCCTGCAGCCTGTGGCTCCTTGTCGCCAGAGTTTACAGTCCATATGCAAACAAGGTAGCAGCCCAGATGGAGTTGCTCATTTGAGGCAAAGGGGAGGCCCAGGTAGAGAAGAGGTGATGAACATTGGCGGGCGGGGTGGGGGTGTGGGAGCATCTGGGGGCCGGGTAAGGAGAGCCAGCGTGCCCTCGGGGGTGGGGATGGTGGAAGAATATTGAGAGTAGAAGCTCAGCTTTGTCCCGTGCGACCTTGGGCAAGTCAATTACTCCCAAGCCTCCATCTCCCAGTCTGCAGAATGGGAGTAACCACAGCCCTGCTCCCTGGCTGCTAGGAGGGTCAGCCCCCTGGGAGCCACTGAGACCGGTGGACAGG